TTTTCACGTAACTACATTGTTTGGGTTTGTATAATTTGTATTGATTAGAACTTTGCACCAATGTGGATTATAAGTGGCAAAACGGGTCTATATAGTTTTACAATAAAAATTACAAAATAAAAAAAACCTGAGGGTGGTAAAACATATGATGGTGCTGTCAAAAGGTAAATCCAAGACGGCGGCTGCACGAAATTTTTAATTTATCGTCATAGGTATCGTTTTTCTGGTTTTCGAGGGTAGTAAAACCGATGGTGCTGTCAAAATGTAATTCCAAGATGGCGGCTGCACGAAATTTTTAATTTATCGTCATGGGTATCGTTTTCATGGTTTTCGACGTCAAATTTTGGATTTTTTAAATAGTCTTCTCCAAGATAAATTGCAATGCTGTGTAACAAATTTCATCAGAATCAATTTAGTTATATTTATTGGGAAATGTTGTTTATTTTCGTGATTTAAAAAATAAACAATTCCACAGAGATTTTACCCTCATAGTATTCTGTTCAGTGATTGATTAAAACACCATTTGAATTCCAGTCAAATAGGTACAGTGGTTGAACTATCAGGCGTCATTTTCCGAGTCTCAAACTATCGTTGTACCGAATTGCACTCAAATAAGTTCAGTGGTTTAAGCAAAAGATAGTCCCGGAATTTTAACGCATAGTTCTTGTCCCGGGAGATTTCCTTTCATGTGCCAGTGTCTCAAACTCTCGTTGAACCGAATTTCAATCAAATAGGTTCAGTGGTTAATAAATTAGTATTCAGCCTCTTTGCATACCTTAATGTTGTATCATGATAATAAAAAATAAATTGTCAATAATCGATTGGTATGAAACTCGTTTCAAAAATATGTCAGATAACATAGAAAAGTATATTTAACATTATAAATTTGTTTACGTCTGTTTGTTTGGTTAGAAATTGCCGTGATTTTTTTACTGAGTTAAGATGAGATAGTAGAAAGGATTGAAAGTAGCATAGGTGACACTTTGTTTCTTTCTAACCTACTTCCCTAAAATAGGGGCTGGAAATTTGTATGGAGCATTTCGTAATTTTTAAGAAACCTAAAATTGGTTTCATATTTGTGACCAGGAAAACATCGGGCACCAATTCTTTTTTATCTTTTGTTAACTTGCCCCAATACTTTAAAATAGCGCGAGTGAAACCATGGGCAGAAGCTAGTCCAAGAATTAATTGTATTTCGTTAATTGAATTCTTAATTTTTCTATAAATTTCCTGACTCTGATGCAGCCAAATACCTTTATTATTCCTTGAAAATAGTTTCCTATTGACAGTTAAAGGCTTAAGCAATATAAACAGATTTTTTGGTAGTATTTTCACACATCGCGTTACAATATCGAATTTCTCACGCGGTTCTCTTTTTTCTGTTTTAGTAAATATAAGGTGCTCTATAATTTTTAGCCACGGCTTTAATGGGAGGTAGTGTTATGTTTACAGATTACAATTGTGAAGAAATTTCGTGCCCCGGACCAGTTAATTACATACAGTAATTAAGTAAACATTGACTACATTCTGCATAATGTGGTTCACAAATTACGCGCGATGTGTCGCTTAGTCAATGAAAACAATTGCTATCTCTTTCCACGTGTACTGAGAATGAAAACGGAAATCAGCTGACTAGTTCACTATCTAATCTACTAGATACTCAATAGGCAGGCTAACAAGGGTTTTAAAAGTGCAATTACTTACCAGGTACGGCATTCTTCCGAAAAGCTGATGTAGGTAAATAAGATTATAAACTTCCCATCACACTTAAAACAGTTTTTTACACACTCTCTACCTACTTATCTACAAAACTGTTGCACAAGTCCATCTTCGCGTTGCACACAAATGAAGGCACGCTTCCAAACATGTCATATCACATTATTTAATGCCTCCGTTTCACTTTTACTATGTTTCGCGTTTGATTTAAAAGACGCCACAAGTTATTGTCTCTATCATCGTAAACTCCGGCAGTATCCCTTGTGCTCGCAAGAGGATGACACCGAAAGAACTCTAACACTTCCTCTTCGAGTTCTGATTAGAATTTCGTCGCCTGGGAGTCATTTTTACGTAGCGCGCGCGTATCCCCGACATTGAAACTAACAACGTCCGCGCAGGCAGGGGTTGACTGGGCTACTGGCGGCCGGGCGGCGCGTGCGACGAGTTCTGCTGGCTGGGGTGTGCTGTCTCGTTCTTGAACGCCCCGTCATACGCTGTTGCCATCCTTATCAGTAGCTCAACCCCCGCCTGCCCGGCGGCCGGTTGACCAGCGCGTGCGACGAGTGCAGGAGAGGGTGCGGGCGCGCGGGGGTGTGCAGCGTGCTCGTAGCCGCCCGGCGCGAGCGGTCTGATAAGGATGGCAACAGCGTATGACGGGGCGTTCAAGAACGAGACAACACACCCCAGCAGAACTCGTCGCACGCGCCGCCCGGCCGCCAGTAGCCGCGTCAACCCCTGCCTGCCCGCACGTTAGTTTTAATGTCGGAGATACGCGCGCGCTACGTAAAAATGACTCCCAGGCGACGAAATTAAAATCAGAACTCGAAGAGGAAGTGTTAGAGTTCTTTCGGTGTCATCTTCTTGCGTGCACAAGGGATACCGCCGGAGTTTACGATGATAGAGACAATAACTTGTGGAGTCAAACGCGAAACAAAGTAAAAGTGAAACGGACACGTTAAATAATGTGATATGACATGTTTGGAAGCGTGCCTTCATTTGTGTGCAACGCGAAGATGGACTTGTGCAACAGTTTTGTAGATAAGTAGGTAGAGAGTGTGTAAAAAACTGTTTTAAGTGTGATGGGAAGTTTATAATCTTATTTACCTACATCAGCTTTTCGGAAGAATGCCGTACCTGGTAAGTAATTGCACTTTTAAAACCCTTGTTAGCCTGCCTATTGAGTATCTAGTAGATTAGATAGTGACGAACTAGTCAGCTGATTTCCGTTTTCATTCTCAGTACACGTGGAAAGAGATAGCAATTGTTTTCATTGACTAAGCGACGCATCGTGCGTAATTTGTGAACCACATTATGCAGAATGTAGTCAATGTTTACTTAATTACTGTATGTAATTAACTGGTCCGGGGCACGAAATTTCTTCACAATTGTAATCTGTAAACATAACACTACCTCCCATTAAAGCCGTGGCTAAAAATTATAGAGCACCTTATATATGTTCAGCATCGATAATGTAGGATTCCAACGGTAAAACAATTTTTCAAATCGGCCTGGTAGTTTCGGAGGAGATTCCATTCAAACAAACAAACAAAAATTCTAATCGTTCCTCTTTATACTATTATAGTAAAGATATAGACTATTGTGAGACATACTAAATTAACTAAAATCGCGGGTTACTCACGTGAATATACTGACGCTGTGACGACTCAGTGAGTTGCGCGACGTCGCCGCGACCGCGCACGCTGCTCATGAGGAAGAACCCCTCTGTGGTTGGCAACTAGTAGAGCTTTTCTCAGTGTATTCACATGAGTAACCCGCGACTTTAGTTAATTTATTACTTTAATTCTTGTATAATTTAAAAAAATAATAATGGAAACATCAATCACACCGAACTAAAAGCAATTGCGACAAAGACGTAGGAGATAAAGCCTTGCATTCTTTGGGTCCCGCCTTCATATTATTTTTAGGTCATAGGATTTTTTAAGTGACATACTATGTATGCATGTATGTTTGTACGCGATTGTCTCGCGATTGGTTGAACTGATTTTGATGCGGTTTTCAGAAAAGTTTATACAGTGATCCCAAATTCATAGAATTATGGAATCTTTTTCAAAATCGACTCAGAAATATGCTTCTATATGATAAACATTTACTATAACACATTAACAAATACACTTTTCATAAAATACATTTATATTTCATAAGCTTCCAAATCAGGTACACAACTTCAATATACCTCTATATAGGTTTCTTCACGATGGTTTCCTTCAGTGGAGTCTTTTTTTATAGGATATGTCGGTAAACTAGCAGACAGATCACCTGATAGTTATCAATCGGCGTCGTCCGTGGACACTCGGAACAGAGGTGTTTTTTTTAAGCAGGGAGAATCATCGAATGACTGCTTCCACCTGGGTGAGGCGGGAGGGAGTGTCAGACTCTTACTGACTAAAAATCACCCCGTTCCTTCTCCTGCACGTCGAGCCGGAGCCCCGGTAACCCGTTAGGTTCTCCGCGACTCCGAATCGGCATCGGCCCTGTTGGGTCCCATCTGTGGTGATCTGATGGCTCTTTGAGGTGAGCGCGGAACGCGACGCGCCGTACGGTTGGGTCTGTTTCTGGTCGGATGGGGAGTCACCCATGCTCGCCGTCCGCAGGCCCGCGCTTAAGGTGGCCGGAGATCGTCCCGCGATCCCCGACGCCCGGTGTGTCCTTCCCGATGGCTGGATTGCGAGGAGGCAGCGCTTCGCTGCCTCACGCGTCCCGCCTACTCCTTAGCTAGCTCCATGACTGCTTCGCAAAAGGAGGAGACGGCATCCCAGTCCCCCTTGCTCCGCATCATGACCTGCACTAGATATGATTGTTGGGGGTTCAGGGTTGAGAAGAATGGGGAGGACGGGAGGGTAATTTGGCCTCCGGTATCCTCATTCTCACGAAACACAACGCAAGCGTTATTTCACTTCGCTCTTCTGTTAGGCCGTGGTATCACTCCGAGCCGACCCATTGGTGCCGATACACTTTCACACTTAAAAATAATCTTAGAAAGTTGGTAAGTATAAGTCGGAAAGAGACAAAAGGATAAAGCTTTCGAAACCGCGAATTCGATTTAGGTTTAGTTAATATTAAGTACCGATATGACTCATATCAGGAAAAAGATAAGAAAACCTTTAACCTAACGTTAATCGATAGCTACAATAAAGTACTCTACATTTAACCTATCTATACGTGATAAGATTATACCAATATATATACATATATATATGTGCAATTTGTAAACCAGTAGAGGTACATTATTTAACTTATGTAGTGAAAGAATACCGTAAAGCAAAATGAATAAATTATTTTTATTGTTTGTGATCGCTGTTTACAGTGAGTATTCATCTTTATTCAGTCTGTGGCAATCTTATACAGATATAATGGCCACGGCTGTCTCCCATTGGGTTAAGTAGAGATAATAGAACATCAGACTGATGACAAGTTTCTGGCATAGCTCTCTCGCTTCATCTTCAATCTCTTCGTGTACGTTCGTTGATTGAGGGGCTTCTATTTTAACAATTTTTCAATAAATCAACGTATGTCCGTCTAGTGCGCATTAACTAATATCTATCCTTTTAATATGACCAAATCAAGGACGTTGAAGAATTCCAACATCCTTCTACCGGTCTAAACCATCTTTTCTTAATAATATTTCCAATGTTTCATTATTTTTTTATGGCATAAGCCGGTCAACGAGACGACGGATCACCTGATGGTAAGCAATCGGCGTCGCCCATGGACACCTGGAACACCAGAGGCGTTACAAGTGCATTCACACACGACGAAACAACGCAAGCGTTGCTACACGTCCGTTCTTTGTGAGGCCGTGGTATCACTCCGGTCGAGCCGGCCCATTCGTGCCGAAGCATGGCTCTCCCACACTTAAAAATTTGTTTATAGTAATTATATTCTTGACAAATAAAAAAAAAATGTTATCCAGGCGTCAATGCATACACACTTGAAGGAGCTAGCAGGATTATAGGAGGAACATACAGAAGTAACATTAATTATGTGGTAAGTATATATTAACAATGGTTTTGTTTATTACAAAGTTCTAATTCTTGCACTAAATGTTGCGAACTCCGCTGGTTGGTGAACGCGCTAATCTTAGATGCTGGTTTGATTTGAAAAATATTTTTGTGTTGGATAGTTCATACTTTTTGGGGGAAATGTTACATAGGTTATAGAATATCACGCTAAGATGAATAGGAGGAATGAGTAAAACCGGGCTGGAGTAGTGTTTTAATAAATCTAACCTATAATGTTGTTTCTATAGTCAGAATTTTAATTAGATTCCAGATTTGACAATAGCAACTGTCATTTTGTGAAATAATGATACCACATATAATAGTGTAGTGATGCACACAAAAATCGATATACAATCGGTGTGTGTGTTTTATAATAAATGTTACAGAAAGTGACAGGATAGCGATAGCAATGACGGCGACAATTTATAAAATAACTTATTACCATGCTACATCTATCTGTTTCATTTGTCATGTTCCTTCATGATTACATTTTTTTATTTATTTCACACACAATTATAAAAGAAAAGTCTCAGATCGTTAATTAATCGTCAAAACAAAATTATCGGTTCAGAAATATTTAATTTCCAGATATACTTAGTTTACAAGAGTAAAATTATAAACGAGAAGAATCGATCCAGAAATATTGCATTTCCATATCGAATAATTTCGCAACGTCACTATTTAGTACTTGTCATAACGTTGCAGCAATGAAATTGTCAAATCTGGAATCGAATTAAAATTCCGAGTATAGATATCATTACAAGAGAAACAATCAACACAAACCTACGAAAGAGGTCACAAATGTGGAGGTGTATTAATTACTCGACAGAATGCATTGACAGCTGCTTCTTGCGTTTTCAATGACAATGGGTAAGTATTATTTTAGCTACTGCAGAAATATTTATTTTTTATTTTGCTGCAGGAATGAATTTGTAGCATGCGTTATGCAGCACCGCCCTCCCATCCGAAAATAAATGCATGCGGTCTCTTGCCATCACCAAAGTGTAAGAAGAATAATGTATTAAATGATTCGTCCGAGTAACAAATGAACATTGATACTTCTTAAGACATTATTTTCCTCCAGAAACTTTTCGTCGGTAACTAAAATGAATATTCTGACTGTTACAGACAGCTGATCAACGCAACCAACTTCAGAGTTTTCGCTGGGACAGTTCTTACAAATGATAATGCAGATAACGTTCGCGACATAGCAAGTATAACTGTTCACCCGGAATATGACAGACATGCTTTTATCAACGACATTGCTGTTATTACTGTAAGAAATGATTTTATATTCTTTGTTTTTTACAATTTGTGTTCAAAAATATATACTCTGTAACTATAACGTCAATGTGACATTTCAGTTACAAGCTGCTTTCCCGGAAGCAATAAACCCCTTGCCAATGCCGACTGTTGCATTATCTTATCCTCTGACACATCTATGTGAGTCTTCCGGATTTGGAGGTCGTAATGCAACATCCACTGTAAGTTTTATTACAATACTGTAAAGTGCAGATCCTTAATTTTATGTTGTCTTATATTAATGGAAATCGTATTGAGTATCTTACTTAAAACAGAAAGTTCTTAAGTATGCGCAAATGAATAGAAGTTATGTATATTCACTATAGAATCGTATAAAATAATAATGTCTAGATGTATTTCGTTAATGTAACATTAAGGCTTATTTGCACCACAGAAAGTAGTTATAGTATTTGTTAGTGTCACATTTAACAGTAACTGTAACTGTTGTTATAGTAGTAGTAACTGTGACTTTAACAGTTACAGCGAAATGTGTTACACCAGCGATTTCAGCAGCTTTGTCAAAGATAAAAGTATTGCAATTCAAATGTAATGTAATGTACGTGTTCCATTTTGCGAAGTAATTCCTGCATGAGATCCGCATTGCTTGCAAATAAGGTGGTATCATCTGCGTATCGCAAGTTTGAAATTGTATACCCACCAATGACAACACCATCGTTCCAATTCTCCAGAGTGATTCGCATCACAAGCCCGGTGTAAATAGTAAAGAGCAACGGCGAAATTATGCATCCCTGTCGCACACTCGCGCTTGGATGAAAGCTGTCGGAGAGGATGTCATCTGTACGTACTGATGCTATTCCCCCCTCGTGGAGTCCCTTTAGTAGATGCACAAGGTGTTGCGGTGTGCCCATATCTAGTAGAGTTCTCTATAGCGTCGACCATTTCACCGAGTCGAACGCTTTTGAGAAATCAACAAAGCATATGTATGTGGGCTTGTTGAATTCTCGTACTTTTTTGATAATTTGACGAACGATGAGAATTTGCTCACCGGTACCCTTGCCCTTCACAAAACCGGCCTGTTCAGCCATACTTCGAGTTATAGAGGCTCCTCTCAGTACCCTCGAGGTATTGTTGTCGTATATGACTGCTTCTGCTGCTTCGAATCTATCGTTTAGTATTAGCTCGTTTCCTTACAGGTAAGTCTGCAGAATGGATTCGCATTTCCGCATGTGCCTGGTTGCCTCCAACACTGTGGTAAACTCGAGAAAAGCATTTTTACGACATGGTCTTTGGTAGTGGACGCTTGTCGAAGCCTCAGCGGACAAACATGACCCATAGCTGCTCTTGTTGGTGATGACCTGGTGGGAGGAGATTGTATTTGAGCGCCATAGCCTCCTGATTCTTGAGCAGATTTGGCCACATATTTCCTGAAAGGTGACGAAATCAGTCCGGTTACTGAGCATACGGCCGCTGTTATTGCCCACACTCTACCTCGTGATTCTATCTTTTATTTTCCCTTTCGGTGTTTTATTGGTGTTATTGCAGAGCGTTTTGTTGCCAATATCTTTTTTGTAGACGCTCTGAGCCGCTTGGAGAATCCAATCCCTTAGCGCGTATCAAACTGGCTTTTTGAGGAAACTCAAGTCCTCACCCCTGTTCTCGTACACGATGACTTCATGATGTTCTGAAGCCCTGACACATCCTATAAGGTCTGCCGTTCTCCCCTTCTCATAAGCCACCATTATGATCTTCAATAGCCCATGTTTTTGACGGCAGTGTTCTTGTAATAAGACGGATCTTAAGTTACAAATCTCATGGTTTGCATGTCCCTCGATCTCTGAACAAATATTGCACAGATAGTTGTTGTGATCTTGTCTGCACTTGCGTTGTATTTTGGTCGTCATTTTATTAAGGTCTTTGATATCAACTGCCACTGCCCTCATATTCCGATGCTCCTTTCAAAGTCAAAGTCAAAGTCAAAATCATTAATTTCAATTAGACAAGGAAGGCAATTTTGAACGTCAGCAATAGAAATTTAAAAGTGAAGCTATTTCCTCGATGAGTTTGAATGTGTCATCCAGTGTTGTTTTTTGTGAAAACTATTAGTGACTTCGAGCGCTCCCACAGCGCATCGGATGTTTCATTCGTCTGGTTCGTTTCCAACCATTGGGACCAATTTCGTTCCACAATTGAGCGAAACCTCTGAGTATCTTTCACTATTAGCTTCCCCGTTTTCTTAATGACCCTGGCTGCTGTCAGTTTGAGTTTTAACTTCGTGATCAACAGTTGGTGGCCAGACCCGCAAACGGCCCCTGGTAACGTATGGGCATTAGTTATAGACGATCTCCATCGCGAACACATCATGATGTCATCAATCTGGTTGCGAGTTTTCCCGTCAGGCGATATCCACGTGTACAACCTACGAGGGTGGTGCTGAAAGAAGGTAGTCGCAACCAGCAAGTCATTCTCCGACGTAAATTGTAGCAAGCACTCACCTCGTTCATTTCGCTTTCCAAGCCCAAGTTATCTTAGGATACTTTAATGCTAACATTGAAGAGAATGCTAATCAGCTGGGTTTTTTTTTATTTAAGCCTAAATGTGCCCGCGCATCTGCTCAACTGATTAGCATTCTCTTCAATGTTAGCATTAAAGTCTCCTAAGATAACTAACAGTTCTCTGTTAGGCACCTTCGCTATTGTTGTTTCTAATTCGGAGTAGAACATCTCGATTGTCTCGTCACTTGCGGCAGAATACCGGAACGATGTTAAGATTCATCGATGACGATTTTATCTCCATGCTGATAATGCTGATGCTGATCGCTTACCGGCTCGTACCCCATCACACAATTTCTCCGACTTATCGACACCAGACACACTTTTGACACTTACTTTAACACTAACTTAAACAGTATCCGGAGAAAAGTGAGCGATTATAGTTAAAGTAATGACGTCATTTAACAATTTGTCAATTGGTGCAACGTCTTTTTGACCTAACCGATACTTCAATAGACATTTTGAGGTTTGTTATTGTACGTTGTACAAGTAAGTTGGTACAACCCAGTCTGAAAGTAAAGGGACATTTTGACTTACTGTTTATTATCATTTTAGGCAAGTGCGCAATTGATAACATTGTCACCAGTGGGTGTGTTGTCATATGAAAACTGCAACCCATTAGTGCCACAGATGGCAGTTATGCCAAGCATGGTTTGCGGGACTTCGACTGGTGGTGGATGTGAGGTAACATTATTTTTCATTACATGGCCAACAAATTACAAAACTATAAAACGATGCGAGAGTTAACAAAGAAGCATTCAGTTTCTTTGTTAACCCTTCACGTCAAAATGGTTGAAGGGTTTGAAATGAAATTTGGTATAGAGATAGAATATGGTCTGAAATAACACATACCTAGGTTAGTTTTTATGCCACGGAAATGTGGAAAAAGCCGCTGACAGATGCTAGTAAAAATAATTTAACTAAACTTTATTTACAAGTTATATGCATAACAGGGCCTTTAGCCAAACGCCACCTTAGCGTTTGTCTCCAGAGAGAGTACAAAACTAAATGTATGGAGATGACACTGACTAGTGTCAAAATTTACGCTAATTCCATACAATTTGGTTTTCTATTCTACATGTAGACAAGCGCTAAATGGCATTTGGCTATAGCTGCTGAATTAAAACAAAAACAATCTCTGGAATAGCTGGTGATCAATGGCTAACTGCATCTC